CGCGCCCGCCCCCGCCGCGACCGAGGCGGCGAGCGTCCCGCTCAGCGAGGTGCTCCCCGAGTACCCGCCCGACGCCGGCGAGGCATGGGGCCTGGACCCCCCGCAGCCCCCCCTCGGGATCGGCCACTACGTCCGCTTTGGCTGGTCGGAGAGCATCAAGGCGGTCGCGATCATCCCGCGATTCGAGCTGAGCACGGCCAAGGCGCGGGAGGTGCTCCCCCAGACCTATTCGCGCAAGGACCTGGTGCGTCCCCCCGCACCCCACAGTCGCTTTTACTGAGCGGTTCTGGTTGTAGGTTTTCAATCTGCAGCGGCTGGCTGTCCTGACCACCGCCCTCGCTCAATCTCCGCCGGATCCGGAGCTCATATACGAGGCAATGAAGGACAGGGTGCACCAGCCCTATCGCAAAGCACTGGTAGGTCGCTGTATGCTAGGCCCCATCATCCGTGGACTAGACTTGCTGCCTAGATCCCCGGACTACCTGAGGTGACGTCCTACATCACGCCGGCCAGCCATCCAGGCCTTCTGGGGATATGTCTGTCAGGAGCGGGCCCGACGATCCTCGCGCTCGCTACCGGTGGATTCGACGCAATCGCAGAGGACGCACGCCGCATATTCCAGGAAAAAGGCGTGGAGGTCGATTGGAAAGTCTTGAGTGTTGTAGGCGGTAGTAGTGTGCAACACGATCATTAGCACGCGACAACATAGAACAGAACGCATAAAGTCATTATTAGAGCATTAATACGAACATCAACACGTCTCGATTACATCCAGTCGTCAGGTATCGTGCCATCTATGGGGTATCATCCAGATTTCATGCAGCCCGCGTTTAGCCGCCCGCGGTTAGGCAGACCGCCCTAGTGGCCACCAGCGCGCCTTCCGAAATGTCGAAGGGAAGATCGACGGTGAACAAAACATGGCTCCGGTCGCTGTTGAGGTACACAGGCAAGTTCACGGTACCCGATGTTGCAGAGTCGTCTGCCTGTACCCATCGAATTTGCGACGGATTCAACCTCACAGTCTCCCCATTGTTCAGTGCGAGCTTGTCCTCATCCCATGTGGCACCTTCAAGAACAAGACCTGCGACGGATGTAATCAGCTAGCTTCGGCGTGATGACGCGGCATCCACTCACCATCAACAATAAATGCACCTGGGTCGTTGACCTTGCCGATGTCGAGTTGCAGGTGCAGCGTTTCTAGACTCCATTTCTTGCGGTGTGCCACCGCCTGACGTGTGGCCGTAATATACGCCTCGGGGAAGAACAGCCCCCCGAGCCAAACCTCGATGTTGCTCAAGTTGTCCAAGCTGGCAATCTGGTCGAGCTGCGCCAGACGACGCGCAAAGTCCGAGACCCAGCCAGACACGGCCAGCGCTTTGTGCACTTTGTACCGCTGCCAGTGGGTGGGTATGGTACCTACAGGCATCTTATGAGACGAACGAAAGGCCAGCTGCATCACAAACATACCTTTGGTCAAGGAGCTCATCAACGTGCGGAGATGGTTGGTCTGCTTCAGGGCGCCCTCGCAAACCTTGATAACATCGGCCAGGTCTCGGCGCACTTGCACGAGGAGCTTACTGCCGATCGTCCCTTCGCGATAGAACAGCCGGTACAGGGGGTCCTGATTGTCGGCACTTTGCTTCGCAAGCGTGTTGAACGTCTGAAACGTGACATTGAGCACTGATTTACAAACGAAATACAAAAGCCAGTGCACGTACCGACGGTAGCTGCTGCAGCCACTCTTGGCAACGCTCCAGCAACGTTCTCATCCAGGCGGGCTGTTGAGAGGTTTGTCCTTTTGTTGGACCGGTGCTTGTGGCGGCAGTCTCATCATCGTCATCCGCCAGCGTTCTCATCTTCCTGAGCTTGCCTAAAAGCTCATTACCTGTTTGTCCGTTCAGTAACTCATCACTGATAATGCAAGGCGTGAAAAATTACCCTGTGCGATAGCAATGACTCGTTCCGCAGTGGGAGGAAGACTGAGCCAGGCAGGTGGCTCCCGTTCAGGCAGCTTTTGTGCCCACGATAAGAAGTGCTCTAATTTAGTGCCGTCGGGAACGCCCAGCACCTGAGAGCCAGTAGCGCTTGGGACTAGGTCGAAATCAACGTTGTATGCGGATGGTGTGAACAGCCCGTCGACGAAGGCATCCAAGATCTTCTGATCAAAGTCACTGTCGACTCTGCCTCCATAGACGCATTGCTTCACGAGCGTTCGAACCGCGTCCCACGGAATCAGAGCTGGGTCGATGTTGGCACGGCCCTTGGCGACAGAGTTGATCCATGTATCAATCGTTGTAAATGCAGAAGCCATGTCGGAGTCGTTAAAGTCGTAAACTTTGCTCCACCCAAGTGGAACGTACCGTAGGCGCTCTTGCACAACCGCATGGAACCAAGCAAGGAGGAAATACAGGCGGGCTTTCTCCGCAGGTCCTTGCGAGAGCCGCGCGGTTGGAATAGTGCGAAGAGAGTCCGTGAGATTGGCTTTGATCCCCGGAGGCGGTTCGTTCATGAGAATCCTCGACTGTCGTAGGATGTTGACCGGAATACTCGGGTTGTCCTCCATTGTGAGGAACAGGCGGAAGTTCCGGTGCGGGTTAAGCGTCTGCAATTTCTTCTCCAACTGACCAAGCCACGACGGAGCCAAGTGAACATTCTTGAGTAGCACCCAAGAGCCTTGGCGGGCAGCAAATGCAATTGCTTGATCGGCCAGTGTGAAACCTTCTTGAGAACCCATCGCCACGGATGCGCAACGCGCGCCTGTATTCTGGACCAGATTTTCTACACGGTAGCTTGCGTCGTAGCCTTTCACGGAGACAAGAGATAGAGGTGTAACAGGAAGGACCTCATCGTTGACCATAGAGCCTAGGTCGTAACCGGACTGGGCGTTCATGTCAGTGTCGAACACACCCCGTACGAAGGACGCTGTCGCTTGTAATAGTCGATCGGGGCGCAGACATTTGATAATCAGCATCCGGCGTATAGCTTCGATAGCAGCTGTGAAGGTCGTAAGTTACCGGTTTTTGAGAGTGAGGCGCGAGTAATCCTGTTACTTACGAGTGCTAGGGTCCCATGGCGACGGAACCATTTGTTCCGGAGTGCTGGACTCGAGGAAGGGTATCCACTGATCTTCGTGCTGCAATACATGATCGATGACAGTCTTGAACAGGGGTTGTTTCCCAAAGCTCTCCAGGCGTTGCTTCTGGTCAATAGACAAGAATGCGCAGTCGTGCAGGTCGACATTGCCCGAGTTGGTCGACATTGCCCCTTCCCCGCTTTCCAAGAGGAACTCTAGTTCATCCGCGATTTCTTCTACTCCACGAAGCTTGACTTGTGCAAGTAGGACAGCAAGCATGACGTGGTCACGATGGAACAAAGCACGCGACGTTCTCTTGTAGACCATGAGGAATAGATCACTTAGGAGAATGTCTCTGCGACGATTCTGGTCGGTGACGTTCTTCAGGTTAGGGTTGTGGTGCAAGATATAGTCAAAGATGTCGAGGAAAAACCGCAGCGAGAATTGATAGAAGTGATTGACGAGGTTGAGCTGGTCAAGAATGAAGAATACGGCGCTGCAGGCTTGCGATAGTGGAAGGTATTCCGCGGTGACCTCTTCGACCTCCTTCATTACCAGATCGGTTTCCTCAACTTTCCGCGTAATCTCGGCGGCCTCTCGTTTTAGCGTCTCTAAGGTGTCGATTACCTTGTCATCATCGAGAATGTTACCCGTAGACTCATTCAATGCTTGTAGCAAGAGTTTTTCCAGAGTCCTCAGACGAAGGCGGAATTCACCCTGCATCTTCATCAAGTCTGTTCGCTTCCGTTCTGTGTCTGGGCGTTCAACTTTAAGGACCTGGTCGAGGGATTGGCTCTGCAGACTGCTCCTAGTCATAGTGAAGTTTACGAAGGTGACCCGACTGCAGATATCAGGGGAGAATTCAACTGATGGGTCCCGCGTCGACAAAAACATCGTGAACGAGGGTGAAAAATCGATGTCTTGACTTCCGAGACGAATGAGCACACGGCCTCCGGTCCTCCGAATCTCCTTATTGAGTACGGGGTTGAGAATGGGATCAAGGTGTTCGACATCTTGAATGAGAAGAGTGTTCCCAAACCGCAACGCGCTCTCCAGTACCTTCAAAAACGCCTCGTCCAAGAAACTGGTGACGGTGATCTTCCGATCCTTGTACTCATTGAGCAAGAAAGCAGTTGCTTGACCGGTGGGATCAATAATTAGCGGGTAACGACTGAAGCGTTTGATCATAATGGCATTCTCAGTGCATAGGTTGTCAGAAGGTAGGCCTTTGGATTGCCAGCTGAGGCGATCATCGGCGGTTGACAGATAGTCCGGCAGAGACAGCTCGGTTTTATATTTGATGTTGGCTTCCGCAAGATGAGCGGACCATTCTTGCCACATCACCTCTCGATAGTGCTGGTCGAAGAAACCTCCGTAAGCTAAGAAGGCGGCTGAAAGTAGCACATCGCCAACGATAGTACCCATTTCAGTATCGAAAGTACGGCTACCGAGCTCCCATCGAGATTTCTCAGAGGAGAGACTTTCAAGAAGCTTCATGCTACGGTCCACCTTGCTTTCAACCCGTTCCATTTCAGTCTTGATCGCTTGAGTTTCTCGAATAAGAGCCGCGTATTCATCTTTATACTTCTCTATGCTCGATTCTAGCTCGGAAATCATGTTTATGATCATCTTCGCCTGTTGCTTCGTGTGTTCCGCTTGATCCTCTAGAGATTGAACTTCGTTCCGCAGGGGTTCCACTTTATCGAGAATCTCGGAGAATCGAACTTGTGCTATAGCCCACTTCACCAACGGACCACAAGCCTTGCTAGCTCGTTGAACAGTCTCGAAGTTGAACGACGGACGACTCAAGAAGTCCCGCTTCATGATATCGCGCAGTTGTTTTGTTAGCTGATTTGTCGTATCGAAATTCACGATCCTCTGGATGAAATCATCTCGCCGGATGATACCTTGGACGGTACGCCAGCTGTCGATTTTGTGCCCCAAGAGAGTGCAGACAGACTCCATAGCTAATTTGACGGCTTCTGGTGGGTTTGCCATTGTACGGACCTCCTGGAGATGCTGTCTCTTGATATTGCTGACTGCTGCTTGAGCTTCAAGAACGGCAGGTTCGGCATCAGCAAGGTCAGCCATCACAACGGCGCGACGCTGCTCGATGTGTTTGTCCTGTTCGACGAGGGCAGCCTGTATCTCGATGGATGCCGCTTTCTTCTGCTCCGCTTCTTGTTGATCAGAGACCATGCGCCTCAGTTTTTCATTGGCTTCAGCATTCTTGGCTTCCAATTGGGAACGCTTGATCGCAAGGCTCTTTCGCAACTCTTCAACCTGGGTTACAGTATCTCGAAGTTTGTCCAGCCCTACGTGAAGATGACGCTGTTGTTCTTCCAATTCCTCTCGCTTTTCATTGTGCAAGCGAACGTAATGATTGATGCTGTAAAAGAGACGAAAGGGTTAGCAGCTTATAGCCTCCAGGTCACATACAAAACTTACAAGTCAAGATAATGACGTGGAGTAACGTAGTTATAGCGCCCCTGTCGGCGACTGAGACGCTGGTTGATCTGATGCAACGACTGATGCACATGCACGAGCGCGTTGACTACGGCAGTTCGATGAACGGGAGGCATAGACAGCTCTCGATACGCAATAGGGAACATCGCAGGCGGACTATAGGAAGGAAGATCCAGATCCAGGGTATTGGTGAACTCCATGCCCACTTGATAGAATGCCTGATCCGACCAGTCCCCAAACCAATCCAGTACACAACGATTGAACAAAGCAGGGGACGTGGCTGCCCGCGACGCCAAGCCATTTTCAGGCGGGTTCATGGTGAAGACAACATGGAGATTTTTCGCTACCTGTTGAGTAAACCAGCGATAAAGCTCCTCGTGCGAGTCCAACATCAGACCATCCCGCTGAGAACCTTCCTTGCAAGCGGTCATGAGCGCAGAATGTTCATCTCCCTCGAATAAACCGGGAACTTCGGCATTTGCTAGAAGAGTGTTCATGCGCTCCAAAAATCCGGAATCCAACACGTTTGATTCATCCATTATGAAGCATATCTTCTCTCCCTTGCACCCGGCACGTCGCAGGACAGTTCGTAGATCTTCGTCAAAATCATCACCAGTATACTTGTTCGAGACTTTGATTTGGAAGATATTCAAGCCATTCATCCATGCAACAAAACGGGACAGCGTCGTCTAAGATTACTAGCTTAGCCTAGCTCATAACTGTTGGCCTGGAAGATACTCACCTTGCCGCTGCCGCTGACTCCAATCAACAGCAGGTGGCCCTGCACTTGGCGGAAGACACGATCGATGCGAAGGACATGGTCAAGGACATCATTGAAAAGGACAAGAGGCACATCCAACTCTTCCTCGTAGAATACCCGAAGGCGCGCCTTGGTGTATTCGCGAAGAACTTCCCGATCAACTGGGATGTAGTTCTTAGATGTCCAGTTCGAGAACAAAATGGGTCTCGCTAGTGCCTCGTCGCGGTTGATCGTAGGGAAATGTTCCATGGAAGCTGCATCGATGCTGTCGTCCGTCCATTGTTTCTCCTCTTCAGTGACTAGCCTATCTTGGAATAGACGCAGAGCTTCATGAGCCCATACACGTACGAGACCCTCAACTGGTAAGATTTCCAGTGGTCTGATTGCTTCATATATACCGCGCACCCATCGAGTCAGCTCTCGAGGACTGTAAACGTAGTGAGCTTGTATATCGGTCGTGAAACGTTTCTGTGACGCCAAGTAGAGCGTCACCATGGCATCAGTAAGCGGTTCTGCGTAGGTGCGCAGGTTGGGAACCACTTTCAGCAGGGCGCGATTGTAGGTTCCATAGATTTGCTTCAGCGATAGCTCTCCGGGATAATCCACCATCACGAGAGGTGCATGGCGGAGGAATCTGTGGCTGAGAGGAACACGTCCAGGATCTGTGGGTGGATTGCATGCACCCACAAATTGAATCCTCTCCAGTTTAACCCATGCCATATCAGACGTCCTCCAGTATCCACCACATTCTACCAGCTGCCGAATAAAGGAAATAACTCGCTGAGTGCCATATTTATCAGTCGCAGGTAAATTGATCTCATCACAGAAAACGACCAGCCATCGCCCGATCTGCACAGGAGCAAGAATGACCCCGTTGGGTGTCTTGCGGTACTCGCAGTATTGCTCAAATGTCTTCAATATCAGCTCCGGTGTAGTGGCACTAGAGAAATTCAGGCCCACGACCTCCATGTCCGGGAGTTTTCGGAGAGCGCTGAACAATGTCATCGTTTTACCAGAACCCGGAGGACCACAGAGCATTAGAGGTTTGTGTTCTGACAACCAGGAATATAGAACCTCCTCGTGGCGAACGGTGTCGACAGTCGGAACGACCACATCAGAGGCCGTCACTGCATGAGGCTCAATTTCGATGACAGGAACTCTTGTTTGCCACGAGAACCACTCTCCATTACCCACTTGAACGTCATAATCAAGTAGAGAGCCACCCTGACCTAACGGTGGCAAATCGACTCCGGTTTGTTTACGCAGGAATTCCCCCATATCGGCGCGGAGTTCTAATCGAGCATCTCCAGAAAAGGCCCAGATAATATTGACCAGGAGTCGCTTTGTGACGTATTGTTCGACGCGCTCGGGAGGTAGCGGGAAGTCAGAGTGCTGTAGATTATATTCGATGACATTGCGGACAGTCTTGTTGACGAGAGAGAACAGTGTGTTCATGGCACGTGTAGCAGTGAAATCCATGATATGTTCGATTGATTCAGCGAAGCCGAGGGCAGCAGTAACTAAACCATCTTCCGCGAAGTACGGCTCAAGTAGAGTCGCAATTTGCTTCTGTGTGACGAGATTCCCTGATGACGTTGCATCCGAAAGAACCGCGTCCGCGCGGCGACCAGTCAAATCTATCTCCTCGTCCTCAGCATCCAGTGGGACAGTTGACAAAGTTTCAAGGTAATGACGATAGACCATGTCGGGCTCGACGACATCTTCGCTGAACCAGATCATTCCGCATCGACTGACCGTAGCAAGTGTTGCATATCTAAGATGTTCCACCTCAAACATGATCCTTACGTTCGGTGGAAGATTCAACCGCTCTCCATTCGGAAGAGTTAACAGCTTGTTATCATCCAGGACACTGATGTTACCATGTCAGCTTTGGAAAAAATCAGCCAGTATTATAAACAAACCTGTTCAAATTCTCAACCCACTCGGGGTCAACGTCACCATCAAAGATGATCCAGTGTCTTTTGCCACTTTCACCGCGAACGTCATCGACTATCTTACGCAACGTGTGCGTGAAAAGGCCATCGTTCCACTCTCGAGTAGTTGGATCTAGAGTGCCGTAGAGAGCATCTTTATCCATAGCCTTAGGGTCGATCACATACGAGACGCCTTCGATGCCATCGAGCCGTTCGAGAGCCGCTAGGAGAACCTGCCATGCATTGGTCTTGCCACTGCCGGACGAGCCCACCATCATTAACCCATGCTGTATTTTCTGGATTTGATACAGCTGGAGAATCTTGGAAACCCATCTGTCCCCCTCGATCAAGCGACGCTCAGCGCAGACTTTGCCAATTTGCTCTCTCAAGGCGTCCAAATTCACTGGCACATAGTCCGTTCCCGGGAACACGTCGGCAAGAAGACTAGACACAAGAAAACAATCGATAACCCATAACAATCCATGAGTAAATGTGAGCTTACCTTGTCAAGAGAGGGACATCTTCTGCGACCAATTTAGGGACTATGGTCTCTGTGACACTCTGGATTAAGATGACTTGTTCAGAAATCATATCAGACAAAGCCCCTGCATCTTCTATGCTGCCGTCTTCGGACCTTGCGCTCTGGAGGCGTTCACGCTTGAGAATACCAGCACTGGCTAAGACAGCTTTCAGAGCGCGAAGACCGAAATCATAGTGAGGCTGAGGGGAGAGTTGTTCGTCACAGAGGTTGAAGAATGGTACGATCTTGGAAGCAAGAGACTCTGCGGTACGGAATCCTTGAGAGAACAGCATAACTTGAGCGATGAGCTCCCGGTCAGGACGTGTCATGGCCATCCTGTGCAACCACTTAATCAACATCATCGAACTCTGGAAAGCACTACTCACGGTCGGAACAACTTGGTCAAATTGGGTGGTAAGGTCGACCGGCCCGCGTAGTTTGGATTCGTCGTTATGAACATACCTAAAAAAAGGTGTCATAAATAAACCGCATAAAAACAAAAATGGACATACCCATATTCTTATTCACCTTCACACTCTTGCCTACTAACTCAATCTCAGTATTCGGATTCTTGACGAGCGCAGCAAGTCCCTGTTGGATGCTCTGGACCTGCTGAGATACAGCACTCAGGATGCGCTCTTCCAAGCGATTGAACTCGTCAAAACATCCCCATGCTCCAACTTGACATAAACCAACAAAGATACGGCCCATGGCCTGGAAATCGAAAGTTTCGTCGCAGCAGAAGACCAAGACAAAACGGCCGAGTTGCACTCCGAGTGCCTTGACGGATTCGGTTTTGCCTAGGCCAAATGTCAGCCACAAGAGTACATCAAATCTAGAAAATACTCACCAGTTCCTGCTGGACCGAAGGGTGAACCACCAAGTTGATTGTCCAAAGCTTGAGTTAAAGTCAAGTAACATCTGTCTGTAAGTGGTGTTTGCACCAGTCGATCTGGAACTCCGAGATACTCCCACCCATATGGGAAAGATGCATCCGCAACTCGGATGGCCAACCGATCGAGAGGGTTCTCCAGTGTCTGATCCAGGTAAAAGCGCATCTGGTATAGCCACTGGAAGGCTCTGTTGTCCGAGACTCGCTGCTGCATGAGAGTGCGCAAAACGTCTCGCTGGTGAACAAGCTCCGTAATGAGGTGCTCGCACTTGCGTCGCGTGACAGGACTGAGCTCGGTGAGGACGACATCCGCGAGGAGGTCAAGGCCTTGTCGTACGATATCCAATGGTGCTTCTAGGCTTCCAGAGCTTTCTAATGCAGTCTCGACAGAGATAGTCCACGCAACCTGGATAGCGAGGGTCACGAGCTGGGCAGGATATTTTTCTAGCCATGCCATAAATTGGTCTTGGGGTAAAGGAGTGGTGGAGCCATAGAATGTCTGCAGCTCGGATACAGCGTCGCACAGTAGCTGTGCTAACGAGATTCTCATCTCTGCCTCGAGTTTGGTTAGCCAATCATTGATTTTGGGATAGTCTTTTAGCAAGATAGGGTCCTTGAACCGAACCTCTTCACCCTCACGAGATGCCATGCCCTGTATCTGCGTGAGATCGTCATCCAGCATGATGGTAGAAATTCCGGCAAACATCTTCTTCAGATGCTTCATGATACGCAAGATCTCTTTGCTGTTGCCGATGATCTCCAACAAGTCTTCATCACCGACAAAATAGAATCGAGGGAAGGATGCACGCTCTCGCTCGAGATATTCTCCCAGAGCCTTTTGTATCTTGTTGAGTAAGTCCGCTAGACGCTCGAGACTCTTCTGTATACCGGCAATATTCATGACATCGATCACGAAAGGTGACTTGTACACTTTCTTCATGACCGCTAAGAACTCTGTATTGATATTTTGGAACCGCGCGCTCTCGACAGGCAGAAGATGCTTGATGTCTGCGCTCCCAGAAAAAATACCTTCCAAGTATACCCACTGCCGTTGGACGTCGATCCACACGTCTGACTTGCCATCAGCAACGAAATACGAGGACCGAAGAGAACATACCAAAGAGGACATGGATCCGGTTAAGTTTCTCCTCCCACGAGCCCGCCTAAATAGCCGTAAGTAATGTGCGACAAACACAAGTTTTGTACATACTTCTTCTTCAAATACTTTTAACCGCCGTAATAATCAGTATAATATTACCAATGCTGATATCTCGAACCGACCTTTATAATATGGAGAGAGCTTCATGGCGACAAGAGAGTTCAGATTCTCACTGCACTTGTTAAAGAGATCATCCCAGCCTCTACGACGGACATTTAGTCTTGCCACGCATACTTGGAAAGCTCATACCATACCGAATAAGACGGCATCTATTCTGATAATTGACGAGATCGAGAGTGTAACTCGTCCATGTCTCTTTGACTTGGCGAATGTACTCCTCCAGAGCCATCTACGAAACCGTAAGTTCGGCATTGATGCGAGGAAGAATAGCGAACAGACCTCTCCTTGCGCCTGAATGATGACCTCCTTGATAGGATTCTCATTCTTCCGTAGGTCCATGTCGTAAACATGCCCGAGAGTCATGCTGCCACGTCTGTCTAAGCAACCTAGACATTTGGCAACGTGGACTCGACGTACAGTGTCAAGCTGACTTGATTCGGTACCCGTAAATTCTTGAACAACTGCTTCCAGTGTCTATCCTTGAGCGCTTCTGATTTCAGTTCAGAAACGAGGGTATTCGCTTTGAGTAGACCTCGTAGGATATCTTGTACATATTCGAAAGCGGCATACTGTCGCATTCTAGTAGGCATCTCCTTTGTCGACGACAGAAGTCCATCTATCTGCTGTCTAAGTTTCCTCGGCTGCACGGTCGCCCATGACATTTCTCTTAGCTCGCCAATCTGGTTCCAAATGCCAGAGAGCGCTGTCCAGACTGCCTTTAGGTCCCGAAGCTCCTCGAATACGGGGTCCAGACGAGTGTGTCGTATAAGCTCCAGATCCAGTGCCTCCTTCGCCCTGCATACGAGGTCGTACTCTTCCTGTATACGCGTGAGCTTGCCTTCGAATACATTGATAGTGTTCAAAGCGGTGTCAGAGCGCATGCTGCCTTGGACTGGCCGCGACTGCTCCCATTCTTGGATAATGTCATTTATCTTGTTCTCGACAATCTTGTCCTCGGCAACAATCTTTAGTTGGAGGCCAGCTACAACAGACTATGAGAAACGCGTCTCGATGTCGCCTCCGCAGAACACACCGAGTTGTTCCTGAATGGAATCGTTCTTCCTCTTCAAGATTTCGTTGAACGCGCTCCACTCGCCCTGTAGCTGGTCGCTGTATAGCCAGTCATCCGGAAACTGGTAACGAAAGCGTTCTAGTGTCTTCTCTCCGCCGGCACATAACTCGATCATAGGGCCCCATTGCTTGGTCTTGCGTTTCAAATCTTGGACAAAAGTAATAAATGTGACCGCGGCCGCGGTCGATGAGTTGGAGGACACGAGCAACTAGTGGCTTAAAGTCAAAAAATAGCGCCTATAAAGGAACAGCAACGAGACGTACCTCCATGGCTGCTGCCTGCAACTCGGTCGCTCTTCACTGGCAGGACGTCGAGCGCGCGACGCGTCGTCGCGTAGCCTGTTGGCTGAGCGGCATCTGCCGAGAAAGTATCCCTCTCTACACTTACCGCCACTACTGTTGCAGAGTCCTGCTGCCCCACGCTTCAAAGTCTTGACACGCGAAGGGATCCATCCAGTTTTTTTAATCCATCGAAACGATATTTACAATTCAAAATGTCCGGTCGCCAACAGCGTGTGATGGTTCAGCCCATCGTAAGCACATCTCCTCGTCTTCTATAAGATCTTGTTGAATATCTCTTCATCCCAGAATGTGATTTTCAAGAATCTGCAGCAGGTTCGAAATGTCCTGCGATCAATGCTATCGCTATGTGGTTGACTATTGCTCTCGATAGCGCACGAAAGTGGTCATCTGGCTTTACGATAATATCGAGATGCGCATCGAAGGGAGAATCATTGTGCGTGTCCCAAATTCCGCTTGAACACACTTGGCGTTGAACATCAAATATGAAGGCGTGGGCTTGCCCAAATCGTCGCACCCGTTGCGTCCATTCTCAGGCTATGGTGGCGATCACATAGACCTGCATTCGTTCGCTTCTTCTTTTCCTTTGATGACTTCTTCCCTATTATGAGACATCTGCTCATACCTGTCTCCCAGGGGTTTGATGAGTTCATGAATGTTGTGATAGATGAGGCTACTGAAGTGTACGTCAAGGATGCCAAGCCGCAACGAGAACTTGGTAAGACCCAAATAACATGTAGCTTATTCCAACCTTGACCAACACAATGCAGGGCGTATATTGTTGAAGGGCGATAATATCACGCTCATTCAACAAGTGGTATAGAGTACCTATGTTACAAGTGACCATTGTACTAAAATTATGTAGGTGTAATGCCTACTCCTGTACCTTACTCTATCTGTTCCGATAGGTGTGACTTCAATGCTTTACAAATTGTAAATAGGCAACAATGATGTGAGACTGAGTGACTGTCGACATAAAGGGCATTCAGGCTGCAGAAAACATTTTATGAATCACATTCAAGAATTGATCCTTGGCACGTACCTTTTCTCGCCCCCAGCCTACAATGCAATCCCAACAAAACAAATGTCCACATTCTGTCGCAGTAGTCGCAGTGCGCTCCTCTAGGCAAAGTGTACAATTTCGGTTTGCTCGTAGTTGGGAAGATATTTGAGCAAAGTCCAAGACCGTCCGTTCATCATTTTCGGCCAATATCTCTGGTGCTTCATCTGAATCAACACGGCTGAGCATAGTCGATACCGGTTTATCATCAATGTAAGCCTCCTCAGCGTGCCCGGCCGGATCCTTTCCTCTCAGGGAATTGTGGTCCTTTGCTTCAGTATGGGATAATGTTCGACAGAGATTCCAGAGACGATAAATGAGTCGAGTGGCTAGCAGGATGCCTAATAATGAATACGATGGAGGCCGCGTATTCGGATTTGCAGGTAAAGACGATACCTATGATCGTACAGTCAAAAACCATGTGAATGAAGAATTACAACAACCACTCACGTAACGAAGTCTTAAGACTCTTTTTACAAGATCATAGTAGGTTCCGCGGAAATAGAAAACAGCTAAGTTCACTTCAGACAAGACTTCCAGGCAGTCAGGTAGCTTGCGTAGCAGAGAGCCGATTGTTGATGTAGATGAGAACGACGAACCCCATCTGGCCATGACATAGGAAGGCAATGTCGGCAAGAGAATAAGAGCGGCCCTAGTACGCAAGCTGGGAAGTTGACCAGTACGTGATGAATGCGACCAAATATCAGTATACTCTTCTCCCAAAGTTTGCGTAGCTAATCGCACATGAGCAGCAGATCCACGAGAGCATTATAAGAGATACTAAGAGACTGACCTCGGCCGACGGTCATACCATAGTACAGAAGCTTGGTAGCCAACTCTACTTCTCTGTCCCATCGTGTAAGACGCCGAGTTCCTAAGTTACGGTCAACATACTTGAATGAAAGAGGAGAAATAGTGAGTATCGGCACCTAACCAAGTCCTCAGGACACCATCTAGTTGCTCCCGTAACGCAGATAAATGAATGAAATCTCGCTGATTGGATCGAACTACGAAAATGCAACGACCACGAATGAGCACAAAGGACGACACACAAGAAGTCGTGAGACGCACTGATTTGAGCCTGCTGGGCGGGAGGAAAGGAGGGCAGTTCGAACGGCATGACGATTGTGGCAAAGACTCGCGAATTTGATCGGCTGAAATGAGCGCCCTCGACGTAGCTCACCTTTGTCCAAGTTGTGCCAGTGAATCAACTTGAAACCCTTGCTACTCCCCTGTTCGACATCTGACTTCACGATCACAAGCATGCAGCGTCAACCACAAGGTCCGACAGTCTGGCAGAAACGTAAGTTGATGTGTTCTTGTAGACCTGTGCGCTATTCGTGTTTAACACACATGCAGTGAAGTAGGCCACTTTCTCTACAATTCCCCGGTCAATCCTGAAAAGTTCTCTCATAGAATGGGTGCAGCCATGGGTGCAGGAGTTGGTCTCACTATCGGCTTCATATTTGGAGGATTCACCGTTCTGAGGTACGAGCTCCTTGTATAACCTCTGCAGTTTCTGACCCTCGTCGTGTAGGGGCGGTGCGGGCCCTCGAGGAGTATTACCAACTCTATCTCAGTACATGCTTAGCAGTGCTGCAACATTCTCTTTCTTCCTTGCTATCGGCTCTGTGGGTAACCGTTTCTGTATACCCCGTCACCTGCTGAGGAATTCCCTAGGTCATTCGTAACGACGCGAACTTGCCGCCACATCTGGAAGCCGCACGGCTACAGCTCACATCACCAGTCATAGCTTCGAGGGTAGAAGGTTTGGGTCTCATGAGACGACGCTGGGCAATAGAGCGGGGACAAAAGGACAACTGACACAGGTTCACGGACACCTATTCATTGCCAGGGTTTTCTGCAGCGAAGTAGTGTCAGAGACTCCATACGCGACTACATGTGATGACTATCCCATCTACACTGCACACATGCATATACTAGTGAGATCATTGTTCGTCACCTCTGTAATGTTCAGTCTCTGTGCTCCATATCAGTACTATGTATCCTAATCCTAATCATAGCTCGATCTGTGGTGTCAAACCTGAGAGCATGTACGAAGTAGGGTGTCATAGACTTCAGCCTTGCAGATTACAAGGTTCCAGGAAGTCCCTTCACAGAGACTGATAGACACCTCATGGATGTGCATGTGGAGAGTCAGCAACGCTATTCCACGGGTTAGTGCTTACACTACAAGGTCCGAGGGGCAGCACCGACTCACTTCTGAGTCAATAAGTGTTTTGTTTTGTTCATGGATCTCGTCCATTTGTTCTGCTCCAATATGCCTGCAGCCTGCTGCCACACGAGCGGACAGACCGAAGGCTGCCGCTCGACTTCATCGACCTTAAACTCGCCGCCCCCCCAGGTTCTCGGCGTGGGGGCGCCTCCCACAGTGGGAATGGCCCCGATATTGTTGGTCGTTCTGGACTTGCCTTAGACATCTTATTCGTGTCCGAACGGCCACCGAAAAACCACCTCAAGAAACTCGGCCGGCGCTTTTCTGCGGTGATTGTCGGGACGGGAGGGGGTCCGCATTCATCTTCTTCGTAGTGAATAGTGGGCATATCGAGGAACTTCACGGATTGAGCGGTGCGTCCAGTCCTCGTGCGAATGGACGAATTAGACGAGAGTATCGATTTTGCTGGTGTAGGCCGCATGCGGGATGATGCCGTTGAAGAGACTGAGGGCGCGCGGCCTCTTCGTGGCATCAGAACTCGCTCGTTCATCTGTCCCAGAATCGCTATGTTGCGCTCTGAGGATTGTGGCGCTTTCGGGCGAACCATCGAGGCCCAAAATGATCGCTCGTTATTATCGACATCGGGATTGTAACGATTGGCGTCTTGCTGGTTCCAGCCATTGTGGTATCGCAAGGATGCTGACGAGATGCATGGAATTTCTGGCAACTCGTCATAGTCTGATGCCGAATCAATCGACGTCTGCGATGTTGAAAAACTGCCACTGAAGGGCGATGGCGGCGTCTGGTGTGTATGAGATCAGAATTTCTTTAATTGTGATAAATTGAGACCTACGAATGAAAAACATAGAGGCAGCGGGCCGTCATGACTACTACTGGCGCAGACGAGGCTCTGTGGTGATGTGTCAGATTTAGATAATTATATGCACGACCTCGCATTTGCTCACGGAATCATCAACAAGCGTCGAGGATGTTGAGCTGCTCCATGATGAAGACTACAGAAAAGTGAGCACCCAGATGAGTATTCAATGGATTTTTCAATGCTCTAAGTGCTCACATTGGCAATTCGTTCACAGTCCAGCCAGTCGGCCCAAACCTGGCTTTCACGCCTAGGGATATCGTAACAGCTAGTCGCGCTCTGCATTTTCAATGTGGAGGGAACGACAGAGAAGAGGAGAGTACGCGACGTAACTCCGGGCAGTGAACGGGGGGAATAGGGTTTGGGGGAACAGAGAGGGGACCAGCGTGAGCGCTACAGGGCACACTCACATTTTCTACACGTGTAAATTGCCTGCGCTTATTATGCGTCACTATTGAGTACAAAGGAAGTCGCATGAATGAGTCATTCCGAACGGCGTGTGGAAGGCGTGTCATTTCCAAGCCATGAGGCATCGACCCCCAAATCAGGCACATCCATCAGCTTTGTGGCAGAAGGAAGAACATCGGCAGCGGATTGGTCGATCATGAACGAGGAACATGAGGGAGACCGAATCCGAATACTGGGCCCACGCCGGCAGTAAGTAATAAAGCTCCCGGGCACAACGTTGCAAATATTATAGTTGCGGCAGAACTGCGAAGAGGGATCGAGAAGTTTGGGGCACTCACGTCGCAAGTTTTAGCTCTGATTGTTTATGCATCAATTACCGGATGTAATTACAAAGCTCTGGGGCACAGAGTGGCCCTAACAATATGAGAATAATGCGCTCTATATCGTAAGTACAATACGCGTCACCAAACCTCAGTAGGTATACGACACATACCAGCACAATTGATGCGTTCGCCCAGGAATGATGACCCGCTGCAGTCAATATCCTCTCCCAGAGCTGTATGCCTTCGTCCCATATCACAGGGGCATTATATCTTAAATGGCTCGTCGACGTGAAGACCACTCCAAATACCCCTCGCAGCCTCCGTGGTACTCTCCACTGTCCTCCTCTTCAGTGGTTTAATTTTTGCGCCGGATGCATCTAAAAGGAGCTGGACTTTCTTTTGAATCCCAGTTATCTCGAAACCATTTAGCGGTATGACTTTGTCTCTGCCATTAACTAAGGAAACGACTGAGGATGGGATTGTTGGAGGTGTGGTGAATGAAGCTCACGATAGAAGCCACGCGCAATTGGCTCCCTCTGGTTGCGCTGCCTGATAACAATCTCGACATGAGGGTTGGTGCGGGCCAGCTCCTCGAGGTGGTCATGAATGTACGTCCTGGTGTTGGCGGATGATGGCCATTTGTCACAGAACTCGAAGACCAGTTTTCGGATTTGGGGGATGAATGCAAGATGTCCGTTTGCTGGTCTCGAAGTCAGCTGAGCTCGTAGGAGGGGTTTTGTAGTCGAGGGGACCCTGTAGGCCATCGCTGCGAGAGGGATAGCGAGCGGAGATGCTTGAGGCAGAGAGGCTGAAAGAATTGTATGTGGATTAGAGTCGGAGTTCGAAATATTTGTAAATGGCAGAAACGACCAGAGGCTTGTCACCACGCAGCGCATCCACTTGTCGACGACACGGTCTCTAATTTCGCCACGGGACGCGTCGACTCGGACGCGTTTGGCGCACTGTCCGTATATCCTCATAGCCACAAGCGCGTCTCGGTCTACACACTAGCTTTCTGCCTGCTTCTGTATGCCCCATGGCTCGTGCAACCCGGTCCTCAGCAGACAAGGGCAAACAGCAAGACGCTGCCCCTACAATCCGCAAGGCGGGCTCCAAAAAGCGAAAACGCAACTCAACCGCCGAACATGATGAGCAGCCTGCTGCTAAGCAAGCCCGGACGGACGATAGTCAGGAGCCGGAGGAGCAGCAGCCGACAGATACTAAAGTCCCTGACTTGCTGGGCAGTGGAGATGTGCCAATCGACCCCTCCGACGCTCAAAAGGTTCTGGACGTGCTTGAGATGTGACTATGTTTTACACCTCTGCTTTTGTATTGTAACTTATGTCTCGCCGGTGTGTAGGGTTGACACTCAAGGTCTTCTTGACCGGGTATTCCCATTACCAACCAAGCATCCAGAGTCTCTTTCTCCAGACGTTTCTGGCTCTTCTTCGTCCGCGCAAACATATTCTCTTCGTACCTTGTTGCAACACTCTTCTGAACACACCTTGAAGGTTCTTCGGGCAAGTGTTTGTTGAATATTCATCTTCTCGGTGGTTCTGATCCTATCAACAGTCCGCTGTTCAACACCTCTACCCCATTTCCTCACATCCCCGAGCTCGAACATCTTCCCCTGCTGCGCAGCAACTCCGTTTTTGTAATCTCGCACTTTCCCTGTTGGATCAGGCCTCTCTCCGTTCCATCCCAGCAACATTGAATGTACAGAGCTTATTTCCCGCTCTCATTGATGTTCCAGGAGACGCGGATGAGAAAAAGGCTGATGATTCTGTATCACCTGTCCTAAATTCTCCACGAAGGCGTAAATATGCTCTGGTTCAACGACTTCCCACAGGCGATTGGTGGACGTCTCTAAATTCTGACGTCGCTCAATCGGACGGGAAGGAGCTTTCGGGGTTGTCGACTGCTCACGCGGAGCTAGCGGTCATTTTTCCGTCTTCCTCTAATTCTGCAGCTGGCGACAAAACTCTCGCCGCATTCGTAACGAGGAGGCTTGGTGCAGCTCTACCGCAGGTTCCTGGTCCACGTCGTGTTAGCTGTGGGAAGTTCTTAGACTATGGAACTTACGCCAGTTTTGCACCTAGCTTTGACCAAGATGGAGTTGAAGTCGGAAGAGATTATCTGGGGGAAGTAATATGGCAGCAGCGGCATAAGGCGCGCATCCGAGACAAGAGCAAGGGCAAGCAAAGAGCCCTTCCTGATGTCACACCAAGTAGTGAAGACCTCGTACTTTCAAGTACCCCTGCTAGTGGTGAGAAGGCCACTACAGGTCACGTCCAGGAGGCCGACGACGATTGGGATTATGAAAACGCGCTTGAAACCGTTCTCCCCCCTGATGAGGCGGCAGCGATCAAATCAGCGATGGGTAGTCTCGAACTGGAACAGGCTGTGCAAGAACTTCTTGATCGAAATGCAAGGGCGCTACTTAGGTTGCAAAGGCTCCAAAGAGAACGGCTAGGTTCAGATGGAGGTGGATTAAGTGTTGTGGAGGAGAGCTCGGAAGAGTGGAAAATCGGTGCGCCGTCAGGTCTCGCGTGCTGTATCGATGCTAACGACGCGTTTACCCATAGCTCAAGCTATCATAGATTCACTTGCGGTGTTGGCCTCCCTACGACCAAGATGTTCGTCTCGCGATGATTCAGAGGCACCTTTTGTCCCGAGCCCTTCCGCGCTACGGACATTACAACGCACACTGCCTGTAGACGCTTCTTTAGGGTGGTATGGGACCTTGCCTGAAAATCGCGCGACTGCGCTTAGAGACGATACAACCGTTTCAGTCACCCCTACTACCGCAGTTGCATCTGCACCTAGTGTCACTACGACAGTAGCTCCAACGGCCACGCCCGTTAAACCCAACGCATCGAATACACCATACACACCATTCAATTTCTCAAATTATCCAGCATCGCAGTATCGTGGCGGCTACGGCACCTACGCTCCAGGTCAACCAAGCAGCTATTATGCTAACTACTCTACCGGCGCACAGGGGCAGACTGCGACAGGCACCCATTATCCTAATGCCCAGTACGGTAGTGCGGGTCAGTACTCATACTCTTCTTGGTACAATTATCAGCAAACGTCAACAGCCGCCCAAGTCCCGGCGGGGACTCCGGGCGGCTCTACGTCAGCTCGCACGACCCCACAGCCTGTCACGACGCCTACTAGCATGCCCACAAATTACGCAAGTTTTTTTGCTTCGACGACCCAGCAGCCGTCTCAATCGCAGCAACGGGCGGTGGCAAATACGGTGCTCACTGCGGCTGCAAAGGCATATCAGCCGGCTGCATGGGCAAGCGTTGGCCAGACGGGCACAACTCCGACGCTCCCGTTACATCTCCGTGCTACAACTACCGCTTCCAGCACGCCTGGAACGCCACAGCCCGCGACGCCCGGAGGAACAACGCCGTATGCTGCCCAAAACTTCTACGGTAATTATCAACCCTCGCCAGCTCCAGCTGCGAGGTAACAGATCCTGCTTGTCTCATATCGTAGTAGTCGAAGGTTTGTTTTATAGTAATACTCCTGTTACAGTAATCAAATCATAAGGTATCTTCCGAGTCAGCGTCCTTTGAGCATCGTCTCGAAATGTAGTTGTCCTCCACATATTGTCTTTTTATGATTAGTACCTTGCGTGTTTTTCATTCGCAGTGAAATAGACTAAATGAAGTTATCGTAGGAAATACATGATAGATACATGTTTGATGTCGTCTAGGCTCTGCCGGTCCAAAGAAAAAGACAGGCGAGCTGACAACCCAACATCAAGGCCCGTCGTATCGACGCACCTCACTCTCACACGCAAAACCACCCCCTCAAGGCCTCGGATGCTAATGCTAACATCCTTGTGACGGGGAAAGTGTCCGGTCGTAAACCTCGACCACCATGGGCTGGGAATAGAGATCAGCGAGGCAGGACAGGAAAGCGCGTTGGTGGGACGATCTCAAGTTGTGTATATAAATCCTCTAATTTCGTCACGTGAGGTATTCGATTATGACTTCCTTAAAACTTATAAGTACTTATAAGTAACACTGAATCCTTAGTCTGGTAAAGACTTGGACTGATCTAGAATGATAACTCGCAAACATACGAACTTATGTATTAGGATTGTTTTATCTGTTTTATCACACCGACATCTATGTCCTTGGGCGAGAGCAAAAAGAATATTTTGTTTAGGGTACGCGCCTTCGTTAAAACCAACTTTTCGCGAGCGCAAGAACTAATACTCGGGTGGGGAGGAGGTAATAGGTGATCACACCCACTGAGTTCCAGTACCAATCTAAACGTGAAGCCAACAGTCCTTGTTTCTTATCCTCGAGCTTTGCGTGGTAGATAATGTTCATAGCATAAGCTCTTTTGTCTCCTGTTTTTGCTTCAGCATCTCAATGCGATGCTTGCATGCGAGCTAGTACACCTCATCCATGACCATCAGCGATGTTCATCTTCCATAATGTCGATTGCAAGAGACATTGTATTTTACGTACCATTCACACTAATAGCAGATTCACCAAGCTGATCAGGAAATCTGGCAATGTCATCGGTCATCAAGAACCCATTTATTCTCCTTCACGAGCTTCTCTCGCTCAAAATACTTCCTTGGTAAACTGACTGAAGTGCAGAACAAAATACAAGCACATCCTTCTTACCTTATATTTCTGTGAATGATCTGAGACCTTATAGTAGTACCAGACTAAGCGATCACCGCAACCAACGCAAAAGGCGTCGGCGACAAGCGCCGACAACCGAGATCTTGTTTGGTTATCCGGACGTTCTTACTACGTTCTTAGTTCCCTCAGAGCCTTTAGATAACCCATCAGGTAACATCAAATGAATGCCTCCTCTGAGGATATTGCAGAGGAAATTCGGATGGCGCTTCCTGGAACAGAGGAAATAGTTGTCCAATGTCTCTGGTTACTTGCTGGACCTAGATGATGCTGCGGAAGATGAGGATGTATTGCAAGTCACCCGAAATATTCTCGAATCTGCTATACCTTCGTCCTCTCGCAGCGGGAAGAATGGACAATTGGAGAAGATCATGGCGTCACTTGGGCGCATTCTCGCGGATCCAGCTTAGAAAAGGAACCGCGCGGGGAACCACAACGGCTTGTTCAGGCTGGACAAGGTGATGAATACGAGCAAGACGAGTGTTACTCGTAACACCATTGCGTTCACCGAAAGTGTAGACTTAGAGAGCATAAACAAGGGAAAGTGAGTCTGGATCTCGTGATCAACGGGCCTTGACCACTCGTCAAAAGCGTCTCGGGTTGACGTGAAGAAGCTAGTAGAGAAACAAGATGCTAAGCTAAAAGTACGCCCTATACTGTCGGACGGTGCTCGAGGTGATGTTGAATTGTATTCTATAGGCCAACATCGAGAAGCGCTCAAAACGGGCTCTGTACGAAGGCTCTAAGCTGCTCGATCAACACCGTAAACAGGTGCGCTCTGTTGGATA